AAAAAAGCTTTATAGACCGGACACTGCTAAGGACTGTACCATTTGATATAGGCATATTCGATATTGAAATATTCCTGCATCGATAATTCTGCTCGGTTTTGAGAGTGAAACTTGAAGGATCGCGTTATTTATTTCAAGAACCGAACTCAAACCTCCTCTTCGAGGCAAACGTGCTCTGATTGCAGTTTGACCTACTTGGGAAGGAACACTACGATTAGTCTTAAATCTAGGTAGGTGATCGTATTTGAGTTTGTCTGCGTTGTTCTTCCTATGACTGCAAATATCATGTCTAGCTTTGGTATTACAATTAGACAATGAAATTCTTGTGCCATATTGGCATTCCCGCGCGCCATTTCCAGCCGCTGGCGCAGACGTAAAATAGGAAATCATTTAACACATATTTTCCACAAAAGCCGATTGACAAAATCCGTTCATCGAAAAGGTTCGGATGGGTTTCAGGTGCGCATTAAGAAAGCTGAATGTCACTGTCAGTGGAGGAATACTTCAGCTTGGTTATCGAGAGCAATGAGGTGCATTCGTTGAGTTTCATCACGGGAACTGAGCCGGAGGGAAAATTTCTAGCCCGGTTACAGAGATCTGAGTACACTGACTTGTCTCGCACCCTCGCATTTCAACAAACCGAACTTTTTGATCTTTTCAACGGAGCCAGCCCAATTGAGTTGCGCTTAGTGGGACGCGCAAAGGGGGAAGTGAACATGAAGGTGCTATCGTTGGTTAAATATAGCTTGTGTTAATTGCCTACTTAAACTGAACAACCTTTTGGCCTTCATTTCCAACATCTTATTTCGATGGGTCATGAAAAAAATACTTGAGAGAATGAAACTTCAGGCAACTATAGCTGAAAGAATTGTTTCTCTTTGCCATCCGTCGTTTAAACGCCAAAAGAGAATTTTGGAACTTATCTAATTACCGAAACGACCTTGTGTGCATCTTAATATTCTCGTTTTGACTTTTAATTTCGTTTTATTTTATTTTGTTGTCTTGCCTTCATATCTTATGAATTAAAAAAAGTAGAAGTATTTTTCAAATTATGAGGGATAATTTCTAGATGACTGCTTAAGTATTACAACTCCACCGTACATCTTTGAGACTCTGGACATTCCGCAAAATTGTACAAAAGTTGAAATAACCACGAGCAAAGTTGTTACAATGGAAGAGACTAGATAAATAGTTGTCATAGTAAGTTTAAAGCCCTGTTACCTTTTTCAGTCACCCACTGCAACTGAAATATGAAGTGAAGCAATCATACTTTTAAAAAATCGTGGCCCAACTAACAGCTGAGGTCGGTCTCAAACACTGGTGTCCTTGAGATCGCTGTGTTTGCTACTCGGGATTTGAAAAGCGGGATTTTAAAATCTCTCTCCCTTCCCTTACCTTCCATGTTAGTCCCATATGGTGAGGTTTTTGGCGTTAAAAACAGGCGCAGAATTTTGATACATGTGGTATATGGTCAACGGGGTGTTGCAACTGTATGTTTAAAAGTCTTCAACTCCAAATGACTAACAGAGATCGAAAAAATTATCTAAATGTAAAATTCGAGCCGATTGTCCTAGTAAATTTTACCTCTTGTTGATGTCGGCTTTTGTTTGAGTCTTCTTTGAAAGTGAATTACGCTTTAAACAATGCGTCAATCGCAAACTAATTAAGCACGCACTTTCGAAACGGAGCCCGAAAACAGGAATTTATGAACAAGACAAAACACCCTTACCGAAGATTCAGAGCAGTACACCTACCCTCATCCGCCCCCCCCCCCCACTCTCCACTATAGGGGGAGATACTTTATCGCTAAAATCGGTTTTTTTTCCTTCATTGTTACAAACCGAACCTTTTAGGCGATACCTTGAGCCGACACAGTTCAAAAGGCACAGAGTGACTCAGTCTCAGTTAAGAATATAATCAACTCCCTCGCGAGCGGACACTCTCGGGATTTGGGAGAAGTGTCCATTGGCAGAGCTGTCCGCTTTCGAAAATTATTCCCATGAGCGGACACCAAAGAAAAATAAGGTGGATGTCCGCTTACGGAAGAAATAATGAGGAATTCTCGAACGAACGTGGCCACAACGTGACACTACAAATGTTATGTTGGACTCTTGTTAATGTCAAACGAACGGAGAGCTTGCTTTCCCACAGACAAAGGGGGATCTGACAAAACCGACCCCCACTAATCTGTTGGTCTGTGAAGGTCACATTTTTGCTGATTTGAAAATACAGTCGAACCTCTATTAAGTGGTCACCCGCGGAGAAACAGGTTCCACCTATCATGGCTCTTATAAAAAACGAATTTTCACTTTCAAAAGTGTCCGCGTCCGCTTACGGAAGTTTGACTGAGAGGCAAAGCAGGGAATTGTCCGTCGTTGTGAAGTAAAGCTTTCTATATACGAGAGTGTCCGTTAGATGAGAGTTGACTGTATTCAAAACAGGCCTTGTCTGGTCATTTTTTCATGCTCAATTCCATAACATAACTTGTTTGACAGAGCGTTCTCCGCGAACGCTCCGTCAAACGCAGCCGAACCTATACTCGATGCAGAACCACTCGCCTCTTCTGTTGTGCTTTTCAACAATTTGAAATGGCTGCCTTTTTACGCAGAAACTCGTATTAATAAATGTGCGATATTGTATAGGAGAATTGAACACGCAGTGCCAGAGTATCTTATCGACTCCTTGAAATTGAATAGCTCTCGGCATTCACGTAATACCAGGTTTGCCAGCTTTAATTTTATTACGCCTACTTACAAGAGAAAGACTGAAGGAGGAAGCTCGTTTGTAGTATCTGCAATACAGGACTGGAACAATTTGAATTGTGAAATAAGGAAGCAGCCGAGTGTAAAATGTTTTAAGCGCGCCTTGAAAAAGGAATTTCTACAAGATCAAGCTCACTTGCCTTACTTTTATCCATAATTTTTATTGAACTTTATTATGTATTTGTCCATTTGTTCGATTTTTATCATAGAATTATTACCTGTCCATTGTTTAAAGCTTAGTAATGTAATTTTCATTCATATGTAGTAGAGGGCCACAAGTTTATTAGTTATTAACTATTAAGTGCCACCCTCTTTAAAATAGAGACTACTACTACTACTGACTAGATCAGGTTCGGCTGCGTTTCCGCTGAAACTAGTGTCATTGTTACCAGCGACGGATCTAGGGGGGAGGGTGTTCGGGGGTGTATAAAAAAAAAACTGCCCTAGCCCCCCACACTTTCCCCTTTCGCTCAAGGTCTGGATCAGCGACTGGTTACTCGACCACGACAAGAAGTCAGTATTCAAGTAAACCTTAGAATTTTCATTTTCGGAGAAACATCGTGAGAAGAATTTTCCAAATTAAATCAATCACACGTATGAATGTTTCTAAATTCCCTTCGGCCAAGCTCTGTTCATCTTAACTCTCAAGTTGATTTAGTTTTTCGCGGATTCGATTTGAAGACAACTCCAGCAGCTTGAATCAAATAATTTTGCTTTAAATTTGGGTCATTTGAAGAAGTAAAAAAATCCTGTCTAAGTCAGGTATTGAAAAAAAAAAAAAAAAAAATTAACTATTTCAAAGTATAAAGTAGTTTTCGTTCTGCGAAATCTCATGATAACCTTGCCGGGCAACCGACTGCGGGTATTCATGGCGTGGCCCTCTTTGGACGCGGAAGTTGAAATTATATGTTATTTTTAAATTATGAGGGTATGGGTGCGATTACAGGTGTGGCTGTCAATATTGATACGCCTTGATATCCAGAAGATTATGTCGGAGATTTGACACAGCACACAGCGACCAAGTTTGGTGCAAAGGTGGCACAAATGGATCATTCAAAATCGAAAAAATACTTCATTCGCCAAACAGTATGGTTAACTGCTACTTAACGGCAGCGACTAATCAGGTTAAGAAGTTGAAAATAAACGATTTTGTTATGCAAATGACTAAATTTACTAGCATATATTGCGTTTCCGAGAAGCGGAAGTCATTCGCACCACGTGGAATACTTAACTTTACCCATAGTGACCCTGTCCTTTAATCAAATGGATCGAAAGTAGAAAACAAAAGAAGACGAAATATTATCAGCAGCAATCTCTTGCTGCTTCAGTTCAAGTGCGGTTTACTTCAGAGGAAGATTTTTTAAATCTGGATTCACATGGTTTCCTGTCTCGCCTGAAGAGCGGATGTACGAGTCAACAGACCGGACCTGTCACGCAAACTTCATCCTTAACTTTCGCACCAAGGGTTCCCTTTCGTATTTAAAAAAATCTCCAAAAAGAAATATTGCAACTTTTATTTTTCATTTCTTTTTCTAATTCAAAATTTACGGCAGAAATTGCTGCCGTGTAAAACTTCATCTTCGCCGGTGAAGAGTGAATCTACTGAATCAATGTTGAATTTAGTAGTGAATAAATTAGTAAACAAGAGCATGCAACAAGGCTAAATTTAGCGCATGATGACGGAAAGAAGCAAAGCTTAGTTAAATCGATCTTTTGTTTTCTTCTACTTTCATCCGAGAGATTTTGTTAGTAAGAACTTTGATCCAATAAATACTCCAAGAAATACGTAGAGTAGGAAGATCTGCCAGAGATGAGCGACTCACCGTGACCGTGACACAAGTGTTATGCTCGAAATTGTAATGAAAGATTGGCCATTGCTACGAGGTTTCGCGGCAAATATTTCTTTCGTTTCTGAAACGAAGCATTTCGTATTCGGTTTCTTGTTTATCTTTCACTTTTTGTGACCTTGACAGCTGAAAATAACAAGCTAAACTCTGGCTCCCATTTCGGTGCCGTGTGATTTTAAATTGAGCAAATAATGAATAATAAAAATACTAAAGAATAAGGGTATTAAATGGAATTGTCTTCCTCGCTTTTGACTCCTAGACGAAATGCTTAACAAATCAACGGGGCAAATTTGGTAACATAATACCGTATGTTGATTGGTCAAAGGTGGTGACGTCAATTCTTGGAAAAAAGTAAGGGGAGTCCCCTAAATATCATGTGAAAGGTAAAAGGGACTTAAACTGAAACGCAAGCTCCATAGAGTGCAGAAGTCGCTTCCATTTGAAGGAAAGTCGTAAGATTTTTTCACAACATAGTCGCAATTCCTTTACTCTGGACATTATTTCAGAGTAATTTAATTCATGATGCCAGCGGAAAGACTCCGGCTTCGCGCATGGATTGAAAAACAAGCAGATAGCGGAAAGCTACCGGGTCTTGAGTGGGAGGATCGAGAGAAAGGAATCTTTAAAGTATCGTGGAAGCATGCTTCAAGGCAATGCTGGTCCTACCCTAAAGATGCCTGCGTCTTCGAAGGTTGGGCCATCCACAGTGGTCGCTACAGAAAAGGATACGACAGACCTGATCCACGGCGTTGGAAAGCGAACTTTCGATGTGCTCTGAACGCCCTCCCGGATATCGTCGAACTTCCAAATCAAGGAATTGCACGAGGTCAAGACGCTTATAAAGTCTATCAGATATCGAAGAAAACAGCCAAGAAAGACGTGCATAATAAACGACCGAACAAGGGTGAGTATCGAGCGTGAATTTCAGTTTGTAAACAGCCGCGAAGCTTAGCAGCTGCGAATTTATTACATTTACGCAAATCCAGAATGCTTATCGAATCAATTTTCTCAAAACAAAAACAAAAATAGTACTGACTTGTTTACGTGTTAAATTTACCGAGTGCTTCCTTAGGAACAGTTTCTCAAGATCTTAGAGGGATTACCCCAACAGAAGCGAAAATATCATCGCAAACACCTACGCTTTACGAGGAATTCAGTCTTCATTTGTCTGGATCATTGAACCATCGTGACCTAAGAAATTGTAAATTTTCTTGCACCCTTCTAGCTTGTATTTCGGTTTCCTTTAAAGAAAAGCTGTGAAAGTAGTCGATCAAACGTGTGCCACGATTATCTGTGGATTTAAACGCATGTACCACCGATATTTTAGGAATACACGGGGAAAAATCAAACGCGAAAAATAAAGCGTGACCAGTTCCCAGAAAGATACAATAAATTGTTTATGAGGGCTTTTCCGAGAAAGGGCACAAATGAGCTCAATTTGCATACATGCTATACATGCTATATATAATGACTGAAGTTTTTGAGTTCCAATGGGCTCAACACTGAGAAATGGCGCGAGCTACAGCAAAATTGGAATACAAAAGAAGTCTTTTTAGATTTATAAAGATTTATTCGTTTCATACTTCCTTGTTGAGCGAGTCGGCACGCCCACGGAGGAGTCGTCTGGAAGAGCTCTCAGATCTCATGAATTGACAAAGAAACAAGGATACGCATCAGTGAAGGCTTCATAGCGTTAAGAGCTAAGACAAGAATTAAATTCCGCTTTCGTTGTAGTTTCAGGGCAAAGAAAAGGCAGCTAGAGTCGCCATTATGTATTTCAGGCATAAGCAATTGACGCTGGAACAATCCTGTAGAGTGGTTCAAGATGATATGCAATCTTTAAATTTCAGCTGCGAACCAAGGGTTGAACTTATTCGGGTTAGGTTCTTGATTACACACATTGCTTAAAAATCGAAAGGTTCGAAAGTTGTAACGAGCCTTTCAGTATTGTTATGGAATACCGAGATGCGATCTGCGATCTTGGTGAATCATTCACGGTGTTAGCGTCATTATTATGCAACAGTCGCGTGTTTTAGCTGACGCGTGGAAACTGTGTGCTCAATAAACTAAGGGAAAAACTTTGTGGAGAAAATGCCTCCACAAGTAAACTTGTATCGCCGAGGAAAACAACAAGGCAATTTAATTTGCAACGTAGATTCCGGGGATAGTTAACAACACGAAAGTTGCAAAAAAAGTAGTTGTATTTGCTGCCTTTCGATGAGAAATGCGCTCAAAATACTGCCGCGACTTTCTCAGTAATTAGAATCAGTCTGGTATATCATACATATGGTAATATCGATATCGTTATTAGAATGTACGTTTTCAAGACGGGAAGGATTTGTCTTTAATAAGTGCAAATCATGAAGCACGGGTTGCAGTGATACCTAGTTCTAGTGCGACCTGCTTTTCAAAAATTAAACAGTGTTGGTCCATATATTGCTTAGAACAACTGCGGAAGCTTCGATCAATTTCACGAACAAGAATTCAATCTCTCAAACGTAGCATTACCATTGCGTCCTGGAGTGGAATCAAATATTCAAAACTGGGGTCATAGAATGCGGAAAGTAGTCGGCATCGAATCCTTTTCTTGCAAACCCCACCTCATTCTTTGATAACGAAGAATTAATATGATTTGTCATCGGACAAACAACGCCCTGTTGATCAAGCTAGTGACCAACGCGTGAGAAACGAGTTTAGGGCGTCTGACTTTAAGGCGAGCTGATTCTTCGGTCGAGAGCCGTCGCTTAGGCAATGCGGAATTTCTTTTTTTCCGTAGAATACAATACAAAAATACAAAAGATTTAGGATCTTCTCGTGAGAAGAAAGAAAAAAAATGAGCAATGATATAATGTCTGTACATAAGTCTGCGTCGTTGGGTGTAATTAGGGCGCTGGCTTCGTTACTCGCGTTATGCGTTTCCAAACACAACAAACAGGGCCGGTCAAAGGAAAACAGTTTCTCAAAACCGTCTGCATACTCTCTGTTGAGTAATTTTTGTAAGCCCACATTCTTTTAGCTCAGTGCTACTCTAGATAAGAATTCGCACCTAGCTTCGAAGTAACGTCTCCTGGAAATTTCGGGACCGCTCCTAGTTCAGCTTATTGGCAGCCTCATGAAGTGATGCTTAGCCAAGGAATTTTTACTGTGTTGTTGCTTTACTTTGTTCACACTTATCAGATCATCAATTTAAGGGGTGATCAATGCTTAAATGAACTAATTAACAGCTGGAAATCACTTCCGCATATCCAAACCTTTTCGTAAAAGTCGTCTCCTTTTTATATGGCTTAGTTTACTGAGCTATGATGCTTGGCTAAGAAAGCATGGTTTACAAGTCTTAGAGGTTGAAAGGACTCATACGTACCAGGATCCGTTACTTCGAACAGAGGGAAACATAAAATAGTTCGAGATAAAAGAAGGTTCGAGCAAGTTGAGGGTAGTTAGAAATAAACTGATAAATGCTCTTCAAAAGGAATGGCTTTAACTTCAATTTGGCAATAAGTCTTTCGATAATAAGGTCGAGAAAACGATTTCCTTTCTCTAGAAGCTCGAAAAGTCGAGTTGACCTTCTTGTTTTGCTTTCTCCTGTACTTAAATCAGATAAGTTTCTTGCCATAATTGAACTGTAAGAGCTCGCCGGAGTAAATATATGATCTGAATCGTTTTTAATCTATAATTATTTGTCTGTGTCTCCAGCGCCAACCGCATGTGCTTCAACCAGCACTGCTTCAACTCCAAACGCGACACCTGCGACGAGAGAACACTCCGCCACAAAGAGAGCGGCTAGGGCTGACCCTGGTCCAATAAGGAACAGGCAGAGTACGGGGGTAAGTGATCATGGTTAAAACAGTAAGGTAATAATCTTAATATGCCCCTCACAAGCTGGCGATTATAGATGGGAATTAGCAGTTTGCCAAAGAGGCAAACTTGGCTGTTTTTCCCTAATCCAGAGAAGCGGTGGTCAAAACAGAGTTAAATGCCTTCAAACACTTCTCAATGGACAGGCTATTACAGAGATATTCACCGAATGTTTGAGAGGCAAACTAAGCTCCTTTTTTCCTATTCCAGGGCAACGGCAGTCAAAACAGAGTCAAATTCTAGAAAACAAGTCACAAATATCACTCAGCCTATGTCTTTGCAGTACACACATTGACAAGTAACCCTAGCTAACTTTGGAGATCCTTTTCATGTTGGAAATATGATTTACATCGTTTTGAATGCTGTCGACTCATGAGGCTTATTAGAAGCTTGATCAATCTCACAAAAAGTTTAGGATGGCAAACTTAATACTTTTCATAACGGGAGAGCGACAAAGAGCTTAAAGCCACGTTTAAAAACATAAGTTTTAGTTCATTCTGTCGGAATTGGCCTTCAAACTATAAATCTGTTTCCACGATAAAAACTTTTTGGTGCTCTTTATTTAATTTTCCAGCTTGCATTTTTGCTCGGTCAGACGAGATTAAAAAGCATTTGCAAAGCTGAAGGTTACAACATCATTGTTATAAATTTAACTTTCGATTTTATTGTATAATGTTACTTCCCGGAAAAAGGCCCGATTTGAACAAGCCGACGATTCAGTGCTTCTGTTTACGAACAGAAGTGTTTGTTCAAGGGTGACTTGATTTTTTTTAAACAAAAAATTCAGCGAAAGTTGCCAGCATAATGCTTGTGTTTTTTTTTCTTTTTTTTTATCTACATGTGCACTGAAATGAACGTTTTCCACGAAAAAATTGCTCCGAAATTAAAATGTTGTTGCGTAATCCAACCAGGACATCGAATACCCCTTTTAAACAATTCTTGGAATTCTGTCTACTTAGAAAGCTTAATTCTGTGTTTTTCTTCAAAATTCAGATCATGAGTTAAAATAGAAAATAGACATGATAATATATTTTCTTAGGATGTGGAGATCTAAAAGCTTTCAAGAAAACAAAAAGGGTCTCCTTAAACTGAAAGAGGAAATTGAAAGTTGTGTGGTGCGAACCGTCTGTGGTTTCGCTTCCTTTAAGTTCATCAGTTCGTTTCAGATAATCGTTGTAAAAATACAATTGGAGTTGTTTCGTGTCAGATTATTTCAGTTTCGAAAGTCGAATGAAAGATGTCATATAAACGGTCAATCTTCCAAATTCATCCGGATTGTGTGGGTTTGTTTAAATTCATAGGGGAAAGAACAATCGCGGGAAAAAATGTTCTCACACAAAACAAGTACGCAGCAACAACAAAAATATTTTTCTACGACATTAAATATCTATTTCTTTGAGATAGAGCCCTCGGTTTAACTTTATTGAGTGTTTCCTGCGCTTTGCAAATTTTACTGAATAAATCCAGAAAAAGGCACTCTTTGTTTATTCTGAGAAATGTGGCTTCTTTGTGAGTGATGGGATGATTTGGGAGAAAGTCAGAAAGTCTTAGACTATCCGTTTGTCCAAGTCCCTCTTTCATCAAAGACGCAATCATCACCTGAATTTTACAATGTGAAATAACAAATGATGGACTTTGATTTGCGCCGCTATAAAAATTGTGATTCTTGGTGCAGCTTATTGTGGGTCTCTTCGGCGTTCCATAAATATATTATTATTCAGAATAATTGAATGTAACTGAAAACCTCTTGCGAGAACATACACAAGCTTGCGACAATGGACACACTTGCAACATTGTGAATTTAGAGTTGCAACGCGCTAGATTTTTGGGTAATTTATTTTGTTGTGAATTTCTTTCTCCTTCTCCGTCACTGTAACCCATATTGAACTTTACTCCATGTTATTCAAGTCACACTTGAATACAATAGTACAACAAATTTAAACGTTGTTGAGAGAACGAAGCGCTTATTTTCTAAAACTGCGCTTCATTTGCGGGTTTGTTTTTACAACTATAGTGTCTCTGAGTCAGTGGGGATTTTTTTTTGCTAACAATTCTCGTTGTAAACTGATCTTTTCCTGACCTTCCTGACAGTTTTTTTCCGTGTTACAAATGAAACGAAACCTTGCCGAAACGTTCTCACCTCATGACACGCGACAATTTTTTTCTCGTTATACAGGAAACACCAAGGAAAGCTCCGTATTACCATTTGTCGGGTGCCAAACCCTTCAATGGCTTTGGGTTTTGGCCAACGTTTCACGCCTGGCCACCACATTTGCTGGATCACGATTACATGAGCCCATGGTTCGATCCAAGGCCTGAGATGAAAGGTTGGTGCTGCATATACTATGCACTTTTAAGTTAATTTCTCGAATCACTTTCATGAAATTCATAAAATGCTCAAAGACATTCATGGTCAGAAATACTATTGCTATTGTGAATAACAAATGAAATGCGAGGTGTAGTGGATCTGCTCTTGTGAACTAGTAAAAGATTATAGCTTTCTTGACTGTATTTTATCTCTCGATTGCTTATCTAAGAGCCATGAAAACAACTGTGCTGACTGACTGGAAAGGCAAAAAAACAAAGAGTAAGCTGTCCTAAGGTTTCGTTCATTTTCCTGTCCTTTCCATCACCACCATCCTTTTATACCTTGATTTTTTACTCTGCGTTTCGTCATGCCATGCACATTTCTAGTTTAGTGTTTCCACTAGCTAAAAATGCCATTTGTGTTGCTTCTGATAGGCCAAATTTGTTAAGTACTATGGTTCGGTTCGGAAAACTGATCCAAAGATGTTATTCCCCTACTGCGTCGTGTGCATTGTCCTGTTCAACCTCCTTATTTTTTTCTCCAGATTAATCTGATAGCTACCAGCTATGTTAAAAATAGGTATCATCGCTCTGCTGCCGCTATTGGAAAAAGAGTTCCCATGCAATTTAAGCACATTTGTCTTTTTTTTCTTCAGACATTGGCGTTATGACTCAATCAGGTATAAAACAGGAACCTTTGTCTCCAGATGATGCGATGATGCCGTCTTGCTCACGAGACCTTAATGAATTGGAGGAGGTAATTCATCGTGGCCCACCTGTTAAGTAGGAGATGATTTATCTACCAATTTTTTTTTTGTCGATAACAAATCTAGTGAAAGAGGAAGAGGGCTCGATCTGATCTAAAAATCACCGAATTGCAGTAAAAACCCGCATACAAGAACACCAGTTTTCGGGGTTCAGGCTGATTGGGTTCTTATATATCGGGTATTTTAGCTGAAATCAGCCTGAAAGTGTTCTCAAGTGTTCTTAATTTTGTACTTTTAAAAAATGTCAGGGAATTACTAACTATGATGAAATACATAACTTATAATTGTAATTATAAGACTTTTAATTCCAAATACAGTTGTTGTACATTTGCTACACACAGCTTTTAGTTTAGTTTAGTTCAATACATTCGCTACAATTCAACAAATACAAATAACTAATCTACATTACACAGTACCAAGAAAGAAAAAGTAAAATTGGAGTGGCAGGAGAGAACAGAACTTTCGTCCCAATTGACACCTAACCCCTATTATATAACAAAAAAGTAAAAGGATACAATAAAACAAGTGAAATTACTAGCATTTACACAGAGATCTTAGTGCAATACCACAGTAAAGCTACAGACACTGTTTGTTCTATTAAACTGAAAAGGGAAGAGTTTTTATATATAAGAACAATTTTCAATTTTCAGGCTGAATGTGTTCTTATATATATGCTCCTTTTTTACCAAATTTCAGCCTGGGTGTTCTTGATCGACATGTTCTTGTATGCGGGTTTTTACTGTATACATTTACGCTTAGTGCCTAAATTACTCGGTCACCCTGTCTTCCTTCTAAAAATTGAACCTCAAATTTGGACTGCACCCTCTGAGGAGAAGAAATTTCTTTCATAGCTGCTCTAGGACACCTTGTACCCTACGGTTGTCTAGTGCGTTCTTTAATATCAACCACTGAACAGTAGGTTCCTTTTGTTTTTAAGGGTTCCACAGATGGTGCTAAAGTAATTGTGAAGGAAGGTAAGTTGAAGCTGTGTAGTTGCTTACACTCCAACTGTCTTGACTGTATTCAGCAGTCTTCTAGCTTGCTGACTTGTACACTTACCTTTTCTTTCTTTATTTGCCTTTGCAGAAGACGAAGTTCCCAGTGATCAAGAAATCATTGATGTAAGACAGTATTACAGCAGACATATGTATTCATTGTTAGTAAGATATCCTGGAAGTGATAATCCAATAAAATATATCTTCCCTTTCTCCTTAGTTGGTGGACCAAATGTCTGACCAGAGTGGATCTTCACTTGACGAATTGGAAGGAATGGAGGGATCTAATGATCCCGAAGAAGGTAAGAAAGCCACGATGACAATCTGTTGAACTTGATATAAAAGTGTCAAAGACCTTTCATGTTCCTTTTGCCACCGGGATTGAATTGGAAGGAATGGAGGGATCTAATGATCCAGGGGAAGGTAAGGAAGCCATGATGACAATCTACTGACCTTGATATGAAAGTGTCAAAGGCCTTTCATTTTCCTTTTCCCACCGGGATTGACCAAAAAGGAATTCTTCGTTAAGATGAGAAATCATGTTCATGCGAAAAAGTAGAGCAAAGAGAGAAAAACGTAAAGATGGGGATATTGTTTAATCCAACTCCAAATTGTGAGAGCTAAAATTATCGGAAAAGTGTGGCAGAGAATTGGTGTTTACATGTAGATGCTAAGAAAGTTAGTATTAACCCCGGGGATTTTCATCATTTTACTCGAATTTTAGCAAGGCCTTTAAATGTTAACCTAAGGATAGTTTCATCATTTTACTCGAATTTTAGCAACTCCTTTAAATGTAGCCACGTTGAATTGTCTAGTAATAGAGTAGGTTAAAAATCGAACTGGAAAAAAAAAAAACAGTAATAACAGAAGAACGAAGAATTAAAAAAAATAAAAGCATGAAAAATCCTGCAAAAAAAAGAAGAATTAAAGGTTGCTGAAAAGAAATTTTGCAGTTCTTTCGTGTGAACATAACCTTATATTATTAGCGCAAGGGAACAAGGGAGATCAGAGGATTTCATGGTTTCAGTCTCCACGTGTTTTTATCAGGCTAGCTATGTTTGCACCAAAAAACTTCCTCTGTTCCTTTCTTAAAATGTCACTAAAAATATACGTAAAGCCGATGTTGCAACCATACTTTGATACTTCGCTTTCGATCAACGAAAGCGCGTCTAATGCTTCAGCTCTTTTACAAACGTGCCAATTCGAGTGCTTAGGTGTATTTCAGCCAATCATTGTATCCACTGATTTGTTGAATAATTGGAATTAATTTAAAAGTATCCTTGATTGCTTTGAATCTTTTTTTTTTTACAGGTTTGTTAGCGTGCATATCCACTGCGCTTGGTTAACTCAATTTTCATTTGATTTCCTCTTATTTCTGCAGAATTTGCAGAGGAATCTTCTTCTCCAAAGGAGCGTCCTCCATTGCGGCTGGTCTTGAAGTCCGAGGCCTCATCAAATTATGGAAACGAATACACTTCCGCCCTTCCTTTGACACCAGACTCCACTCGGGAGATTTTGAGTGTCATTAACAGATCGTAGGACTTAAAAGAACTCTTTTCGAGAATTAAGTTAGTTCAGTAAGCTTCAATAAGCAAAGGGAATGGATTTTCTCAAGGGATATACGAGGGAAACGTAAATGATCGTAAGAGGACACTTTATGATTGGCATAAGTGACCATCCTCGCTAGTTGACGCTGGCCTAAAGGCGGCGAACGCAGTGACTGCCAAGACTTCCACCCTCGAAGGTTCTGTGTCCTTTTTGCTCAGATTCAACTGTTCCCCATATTCATAGATTATTTGATACCGTAGGAATCCGTAAAGAGATGTATTTTAATTAGGTTAACTTGAATGGTCGATGGATTAGCAACCGTTTGGGAATTTTCACCTCTCATTCGTATATTATTCTCAATGGCAAGCCAGATTTTCTAGAACGATCATTACTATAGAAAAATTAGTTCAGAGGTCCCCTTTAATCACCCACTGACATTTCACCCCAATGAGTGCATGCTTTGCATGGTCCTGGCACAAATCAGTTCAGTTCTTGGATCCAGAGTCAGGCAGCCATCACCCTTATTTGAAACTATTCGTTTGTTGTGTTATTCAGTCATGTTGTTTGTGAAGAAACTTTTGATTTCTTGTTGGATCAAAGTGATTCGATAATTATTAATTCTGGGTGTGAGATAAATTGTAATATGTAATGATTGAAACTCGGCCATCATTCATCATCCATGTTATCCAACCTTAACAGAATGATCAGTGTCAAGTTTCATTATCACCTTGTCTCAAAGCGTTCAAATGCGATGAACCAAGGCTTAACCTTTTTAGTCTAAAGTTAGTTTCGGAACTGTAAACTTTAAGCTCCATGGGATTGTAATTCATACAAAATAAACGCATTGCGTCCACTGCACGAATTACTTTGACTCTTAATTAAACCCCTAAGAGTGTCGAGTATCTTTTTTCACCCAAAAATATAACATCTCAATCAAGAATTAAGGTCAGGAGAATTAAGAGAAATGATTACTAACTAAAGAAGCTAAGTTCTTGATTGTCAAAGAAATTCTTTTTGTCAGCATCTTAATTAGGGAATGTATAGAGAACAGTATAGAGAATCACATGCACCTGACACTACAGTTAAAGTGTTATTGTAAAGCAACCAGGAGAAACTTTTCTCTTAAAACCACATTTCATCGAAAGGAAAACCTTTTCCAATAGTGAATGACTCCTTCTTAGTTATCAAACCATAACATCAGTTCAGACGTCGACCTTTCTGGAAATGGATTACATGCATACCTTCTGTTGCTAACGGAGAATGTAGAGACTTCGAATTTAAGTGCAAAATTAATTTTTGGCCACAATTTTCGATTTGAAATCAAATATATAATTCGCGCGTATCATACGAAACGTCGTCGCTCTTCAACGGTATTCAAATCTCTCAAGTTGATTTTACGAAAATTCCTCGCAGCATTATGACTTAAGGTAGCTCGTACTAGCTTCCTCGTGTGGGGAACAGATAACTCTTGCGTCACGCGCGATAGAAACGTGTGAAAGAAGCGCGAGATTAAAAGTCGAAAATTTAAAACAAAGATGGCGGCGCGAGGATTTTTTCTACTTTTGTGATGGGTTCACCTAAGAGTGTATATTTGATGTGTTGAGCGGCCACTGTGAATGCAGGAGATAGAAACTAAGATAAAGAGGACGATTTTGGGAGAAGTAAAGGTTGCTTTACTTCACATCTAAAAGAAATATTCAACCGATATGAAATCTTGCGACGGTGAAAAAAGAAGAACTCAAGTGAAGGATAATCTACCTGAAGTGGAAGACTTTGAAACTTAAAGAAAAATAATATGATATAGCCAGAAGTCGTGTGTAGGGTTTTTAAGATGAGCCCGGGAGGCTGTCTTTGACAGCTGTTAAATGATTTTCTTAGCAGTAAACGTCTGTAAACATGAGATCGTAGGCGCTCGCGCGAGCACACGCAATTGTCAGCGGTAGCTATAACAGGTCATGAGCAAATGACGATCTTATAGAATCCAGATTTTTAAATGCTTGAGAACGCGCGTGAAAATTGCTAAACCCACGAAAGCTATTGCATGAAAACAAGTCCGGTGACCCCTTCTTTTTATTGTTCCAATATGATAATTACGTCGAAAGGAATAATCAGAAAAAAAACTAGAAAATTCTACGGAAGGAAGTTTGCGATGTGTGAAAATTGCCTTTTTTGTAGATTTTCTGCAATTCCGCTCCGTAGAATTTTTTAAAAATCTTTGTGCATTTTCCTCTTCAAGTGCCAAAAGCAATCACTGAAAGAAATCAGGGGGTCACCGGGTTAGTTTTCGAATTATTTAAGCCACAAGCGAAAAAAAATGCGTCTGAATAAGCCTATGAAAACGTTGCCATGGAAACTGCTAGTTACGAAATGACACCTATTTTTGGATAACCAATGATTATATAATTCAACCCCGTAAAAGTGTTAACTGGCCTTGGTCAGCTATTCTGTAGTATTCTTTCAAAGTTACAAACCATCAAAAAGATGAAAACCGGTACGAGCCACCTTAGCATCATGACTTAAATATGAAAAATTGAATTTTGAAAAATTTTGAAAATTTTGGTTTTCAATATTAAATTTGAGGATATCATGTGCTTCGTCAGCGTGTTCTAGAACTGCTGTGTTGCTGTGGTTTAGTTCTGCCACGTTATTCAAATACCCTAAGTTGATTTTAAACAAAATTACTCGCAGTATTTAAGTGACTTAAATATGAAAAATTCGCTCCGTATGAAAAATTGAATTTGAAAAAATTCTGAAAATTTTGGTTTTCAATATGAAATTTAAAGTTTTCATGTGCTTCGTCAGCGTATCCTAGAACTACTGTGTTGCTGTGATTTAGCTAACAATTAGAAATATCACAATTACCTCATCTCCCAGACAGAAAAAAACAAACACTTTAAAGATAGTAAAGAGAATAGGTTATATTATATCTGCACTCGAAAAATAATTAAATTCACATGTCATTCTGTCCATGTTATAAAGCGCTTACACAGCACATTATCAATTATTGCGAATGCGATTATTTTAGTTTCTGCACGAACTGAAATTTGATTTACTGTCGAATGACTTCCTCACTTAGGCATGACACAACCTCACCTTTCTGTAACACTAAATGTTTCATTCCGACAAACCAGTTAAAGAACTAATAGGTGCAGTTGCCATTATCGTCTTAATATTGTGCTTACTAAGCAAGTTTCCACAAGACTCAGCGTTGCGATTGAAATAGCCAGATTAACAAAAGAAGTGGGGAATTCCCCGTTAGCTTTGATAAACAAATTTTTTTATCATTTAGCACTATAGTGCAGCTTCAAAACATTCGCTGTTATCTTAATGGGTGTCTGTTTATACTCATGTACATACATATCCATATTTACTTCACTGCCGGCTACAAGGGAATGGTGGAAAAGATAATGATATATGGCGGGGAAAAGAGGTAAAGTGCATCAAGATTTCATTTACACTAAAAAATCGATGTCGCATTTCTTATCTCGAGTCCACATGATAAACATGTGTTTCGTGACTAATTCAAGCTCTATTTGATCGATACGTAATTGCGTATGCCACTAGTTTCGTAGATTCAAATTACCCTGTCTGCTAGCTATGCTTTTTAGATTAATTAAAAATGCCTTACGCTTCACAGCACTCGCGAAAACCATTTCGAAGGCTGAAATGGCGCTGTTTTCGAGTAATCTAGATGTACCGTCCAGTTCACTAAAAATTATCTTGCATTATAGAAGGTAACTGGTTTTCAAAAATTTAAACGCGTAGAGGTCTGTTGTATAAATCCCAACCGACTTGTTCTGCAGCAATTTGGTTCGGTTGCAGATAGGGAAAGGAGTGTATTTATCTTAAAAAACTTGCTTGTTAATCTCTGTCTCGTAGTCATTGTGACTACCCGATTGCTCTTCACAAAATCTTTTTTTCCAGTCTCATTTACGAATACCAGCGTGACAACATACTTGGGTCAAAATATATTGCGTGACAGTCAAATATAACTATTTACCATGGGCGTCCATCGGTAAACCGTAGACACTGTCGAGTTGTCCTAAGACACGGAGGCCCTTTGAAAGACCTCGGCCTCCGATGGATAATCAAGTTTAAAAACTGTACTTATCGACCAAAGGCGAAGATCTAGTTTAAAGCTTACTTTACGTTAATCGTATTGATGCAATTCGTACAGTTCATTCGAAGCAGCTTTCTTCACTCGAGTACTTTGTTAACAAGGACCGATAAAGGCACTTGCGATCTTGAGGGCGAGAATATTCTTTTCACAGGTCATCAGGTGGCGCAGATATTGAACTGGCTTTGTGAGAGGGCGATTAAGAATGCTAAACTTTGAATTTTTCTGCGGAGACTGCTGATACGAAGCAGTGAACTGAAACAAAAATTTTATTACACTTATTTTACCTCTGTTTTCTACACCGTGAGAGTGAAAGGAATTCCAACAAATCGGAAACCACACTGTTTTCTACTGAAGCAGGTTACAGCTATTAGATTGACATTCCGCTATTCGGGGATTCCCCGTTTAAGCCAAGATACAAAAATTTGCATTTAACAGTTGAAAGACAAAAATCGATGGCCAGCACCTTGCCACTAGAGAAATAGTTCTAGCGATAAAAATAGTGAGAAAAGTTTCTTCATACTTTTGAAAATAGTAAATAAGCGAAATTTGAACCGCGCAAGGCCGAAGCAGTAACCATCTTTCGATGAAGTGAAACTCAATACTGATGATTATATTAGCTTTTTGATTTGAAAATTATGCAAAAATTTCATTTTGTAAATTTGGTAAATGCTGTTTTATTAACATGAATTTACTGCCTCTTTCACTAAAGGAATACCGTTAGAAATGCTGTCGAACTGATGAAAATGAACTGATATCATCAACAACCGCGCGGTCGAAAGCTGGATGACAGTTTTGTTTACAGTTGGTTACCTGAATAAACGGGTCTTCATAAAGGGAAAAATCCCTTCTATTGTTAACAGCTGGGAGAATAAATTATCAAATGTTTACGTGGGATCACATTTGCAAATCGTAACAATAATCTTGATAAGAATATTTAAGAACATCGCATTGAGGTTTTAGATATGAAAAAGATGCTTCGCATGCAGTAGGATAGAAATATTTATGACTGACAGAAGACGGATCCGGTCAGCATTTCAAAGTTCATTAAGGATTGTTTGGGCTAACACCCGAGGAAGGGAAAAACCCCTTTTCAACGGGACTTTCCCTAAAGATTGGAATGGGCATATAACATTTAAGGGCCACAACACGTCGGTAGAGTGTAAATCTGACCGCGAAACGACTGACAAAAGTCCCTCTGCGCTGCGACTTAAAAGCGAAACCGAATTTCAAATCTGCCGAAATTTTCAGTTTTTAAACTTGTCGTTAGCAAGTGCTAGAAGATATAAATATTGCTATTAATTGTAATCGGGAGACAAGAAAAAAATTCGTCTTCGAGTTTTATGTCGTTTCCTCTAAAGCGAAGGAGGGAAAATTATGCACGACTACAGTAAATTGTCGGGAACGAGAAAAATGCGTTTCCGAGAATGGGTGATCTGTAAACTCGACAGTGGAGAAATCGCTGGTGTGCAATGGCTTGACAGGCAAGGAGGGATCTTCAAAATTCCTTGGAAACACGGTTCTGGTCGAGATTGGCGTTTCACAGATGCTGGTATATTCGAGGAATGGGCAAAACATTCTGGGAAGTATGTGGAGGGCAGAGATAAGCCAGATCCTTGTAAATGGAAGACAAACTTTAGGTGTACTTTGAATGCTCTGCCAGATTTCAAAGAGGTTCGAACTAAAAGTTGTCCGCGTGGCCCTGATGCGTTTAAGATTTACAAGTTGAAAGATCCCGCGGGTAAACTAAACAAGAAACAGAGAGATCCTGTGAAGAAGGACGAAAAAAGTAAGTTTTCTGCGTAAGTTGTCTTCTTACAGTGCCCGCACTTTGTAAACTACACCCGCACCCTCCGGCTGAATGCAAATTTTGAATTTCTTGGAAAATGACACTCGACGGGGAGGGGAATTCAAATTCACCACTAGAATGTTTTGGTTCGCCAATACATCTCTGAGGTAATGATATCCAGAGGATATTAGGTGCGCCCTTAAGAAGTTGGCCCGACTCAAACTGAAAGTTGATCTTTTTTCGACAGTGAAAGAAAACGCTATAAAGGATTATGCCAAACCCGCATTAAGCAAAGACCTTTCAGTCGAGAAAAAGTCATTTGAATAAATTTTCATCATTCACTACTCCAGAGAAGGAATCGAAATACGTTAAATTAATTCAAATGGCAAAGCAGAGCGCTGATGAAGAAAACAACGTAATCTTAGGGTTGTAAGAACCGCCATAAGTTTTACTGGAATTCGATTTCTTTATTGCGTTCGTCTCGGATATGAGATATCATAAACTGTGTGCGATCACAAAACTTTTTCCTCCTCTATCTAATGTCAAGAATGAAGGATTGTTATTGAGTCTACCACACCTAATCCAATATTAACCGTAGCTTCAGACGCGGGAAATTCCCTCTCAAGCAAGACAGTCTGCTGCGTTGGCACAATTGTTGTTCGATGGAAAAGTGCCAACATAACCATAAGTTTGTCATATGATGGATGGTGTTCATGGCACATGACCCATAGCTTTCTGCGTGATCGACCTCAAATAATTCCAAGAAAGTTCATTCAAAGCTAAACGCGTCAAAACAAATCTTCCGATCTTATTTACATTTTTCTAGTTTTTAACTACGCCCTCAAAACCAAAAGGCTTCCAAGATACGGATACAATACAATGCGGTCCGTTTGAAAAAACTTCCGATACGAAACTACATGCGAAAGCTCAATTAACAATTGATTTCCACAATAAGATATCATTTACGACATCCAGGAAGCCCTAAAATAAATTATGATCCACATCAAAAAAGTACTCAAAACTCATTTCCTTTGAAACATATCGACGAAAGAAGCTAATTTAAAAAGAGTAAATAACGTTATCATTTCTATTTTGGCGCTATCACCTCAGAATCGACCAGGTCTTTGTTAAGAAAACGAAATAACAAAAAATTATGTAAAGAAACAAACGAAGCGATATGGATTTGGAGAATATTGGCAACGATCGTAGTCTTCTAGAAATTTTTCGGGGACGAATTAGGGAAAAGTATCCTGGTATTCTGTGGTCAACTAGCATGGATAATTTGCGTGCTAGTCAGTCTTGATTCGCCACGCAACAAATATTTCGGCAAACCTTACTGAATGTAATCTTTTAGTCTAACTTGTGCGCTCGTTTTTAACTTTTTCACCAATAACGGCTTTTCTATGATTCAAAAAGCAAAGCCCAATCTCTCAGGTAATAAGGAAGTATGCATGGGTGTATACGTAAACGCTGCCCTGCTCTTTGTGGGTTTGATAAGGAAAGGTAATTTTATAGGCCACTTCGGAACCTCGACCGTTCCATCAGATAGGCTCTTGACAAACTCAGACGGTTCGACATGTAAGCCTCATCATTCCGATCTCTTTAACACTGAGCACAAATTGCAAGTGCTACACTTCGATTTAACCTCCTGCCATGTTGCGCGCTCTGTAAATTTGTAAACAACTCACAGCAACGTTAATCCGAACTTAAAATAGCTTACTTTCCTTGATTCTTGTGTTCAGATGCTGACTTCCTTTTTGTCTATACAAATGAATAACACTTCTGATACTTTAAAGATTCCTCAACAATTTAGGATGGAAGCCTCAACCATATGTGCCTTGTTATCGAAAGAGAATTTAACTGTGGTTTCGAAACTACAGGTAGCTTAGTTGTGCTTGCGTGCAAAATAGTCAATTGTGTAGTTTCCAAAGACGAATATCGAACGAATATGTCCAGGCCTCTCGAATAAATATGATCCTTAATTACAGTACGCTAACATAATTTCCATCAATTTATTTTTTTCAGATACTGAGTCACTTGGGTCATTCGACAGACAAATAGTGCAGGTATGTAACATCTCCTTAAGAACGATAATAATAATAATAATGATAATAATAATAAATATAATATTAATAATAATAATAATAATAATAAGTAATTATAAAAATAAGTTTCTTGATACGCTCTCGAAGGTGAAGCAGCCGACCATTTCGCGGAAGTCGATGGGGTTAAATTTCTCAAACGCTCGTGACAAATAATCCTAAATTTGACAAATGTGAAAATTTAACATTTCGGTTTTTAAATTTTCGCTCACCGCACATTTTCCGCTTTGCTGATAGGTAATATACAGAACGGGTTTCAGTGAGCGAGGAAAGGGAATTGAAATAATGCCTAAATCAGTATATTGTTATCTCCGCCATGTAAAAGCATACGAGTCAAGATAGTATAATATAATCTCTTGTGCAAGTATAAAAATGATATTGTCGCCGTGTCTTTGAATTTCAAAGAGTGGCCTAATCTTCCAGGAATTTCCTAGAATGCGCTAAAATTAAGGCTATGGACGTCATCGTGTTTGAAACGAATCGGTAGCCTGGCGCGCCAAAGCAGAGCGCGTGACTCACAGAAATGCAGCTGCTTCTCCGATCCGGTATCGCTAAGAATCGTTCTTTGAGTCGTGATTGCTTCTTTGCATCGCGCTTAACTGATCTGAAATCATTGCCACGAGAAGAACAAAACGAAAATGTAATAATGAAATTATTTTTACGACATATAAGAAAGCGGCTCGGCTACTAAGCTAGATTTAAAATGGCGGCATCCGTGATTGGAACTAAGCACGTTGGAAGACAATTTTTGTAAGCTATGGTTTCTTGTTGAAAGATCGAAGCGCAGTCAGTGTCAATATTCATACATGCTTTATAATGCTGAAAAAAAAGTGTATGGTTTCGATTTGGGGCATAAGCAGAGCGAAACCCTTTCTTCCTCGTCTTTCTTTGAGCCGTTCTTTTACTCACTGAGCCTTGTAAGAGGCCCGCCTGGTTTTACGGTCACAGTAACTCCATCGTCTCGTGTCAGTGGATCTGATGACTCATCCCCCTTTTTTTTTTTTATTTATTTTATTTTTATCGTGTTTACACTTTTTATCGTCAGATGGTGGATGAAATGTTCAACTCCTGCTGCGATGCCAAATCTGAGGAGAAACCTACAGTGGCTCCTCGTGCGAACTCAAACTACCCAGCCTTCGAGAGTCTTGTTGTGAGTAAGATTAATCAAGGTACGTTATCTCCATTCTTAATTAAATGCGAATTTTTGCTTAAACCCTTGATCTCCCAGAAGTGATTAACATGAAACTTCTCCCAATCATATCTTTATATTATCCAGCAAACAGGTAATGAGAATACTTAAACTTATCAGGTAGAGGTTGTTGTCGTTATCTTTCACCAAATTCCCAGAGCTGATGTACCAAGAAATGTGAAACAGCTTGAACGGAGAATTGATGATCAGTTCGTAGGAGCATGCGCAAAAGGGTTTAGGAGGAGAGGCTGAGACACCGTCGAGCGTTCCGCAAACAGAATATGACGTACCACAAGGGCCGGTTTCTCGAAAGTTCCGGTAACTTAGCGGGCTCGCAAAATTGTTCTGTTTTCATTCAAGATGGGGATTTCAAAAGTTTTGAAAATGATATATGATAAAACTATCAGCTAAAGAAGCAAAAAGGACTGGTTTGGGTGCCAGAACCTGCCTTCCTATCCTTTAAATTTTGATTTTAAAACGTGGCTTCGGGTCCATTGAGTTACCGGGACTTTCGAGAAACGATCCGAGGGCAGGATTTTAAAATTAATATGAACTGTAAAAACAAAGGTCGTTTCTGTACATCAGTGAATTATACGTGGGATGAAAAAACGTTCGTACATATAAAAGCTGAGGTAAATGATGTACACGAAAACATTTCTCTTGCTGTCGAAAGCGTGAAGACTGTTCCGCCAACGTGAGGCTGACGTCTGGTCACGTGACCCTTAGAGGTGTTAGGTCCGCGCTAAACGTTGATCTTAAGGTGTCGATCGCCTCATGAAACCATTAGCTACCCTCAATTTTAAAACTTCTTTCTGATTTCAGGAGTGACTCAACATCCCTATGCATTTTATTTGGCGGCTTGGAATGCCATGGCTGTCGATATGCACAAAGAAGGACAAAAAGCATCTTCTGAAGAGGAATTTGTTGACGTTGAAAATGTGTCTGAAGAAAATGGAGATATCAGCAACTAAGGAGTACATCTTCTCTTCTGGAAGGATAAGGATGTCTGATGCCCCCCGTCCCCCTCCCCCCTCCTGTAATCAGTGAAAGCAAGTCAGTAACACTTTGGAGGATTTGGCAATGTATATAGAGCTATGTCAAGAATCTTGAGTGTAAATGATGTTTTGGGTTGCGTGTTCTTGTGAAATGTTGGTAGGTTAAGGTGGTAGGCGAAAGGTTCGAAGTAGCGCTACTAAAAGTACAGTCCATATAATGACACATTGCCCTTTGGACCCGGAGGGGGCCAAAGTTTGCAACTAATCTTCTAAGATGACACCACAAGAAGGGAACTCCCAAACCGCAACTGTGACAGGATTCTACATCCATGATATAGCATCCCAAATGTAAAGTACCTTCTGAGTCGAAAGGGAACTATGAAAGGTAAATATTTTATAAAGGCTCTCAGTGTAAAAAGTAGTTAACAGGAACCAATAATTTACGAAAAGAAGCCGTCGTTCACGGTGCACTCATTCATGTAATTTCTAGGGTGTTTATCATAAAATAATAATAAAGATAATAATAAAGTTGACAAAAACTTTTAAGTGTATATAGTGTCGTAAGCGAATAAACACTTGATTCGAACCAAATGAGTGTACTTTGCTTGTTTTCTGTCTGTTTGATTTTAGATGACGCGTCAACTGCTGCAATGATAAATCCAAATGCAACGGCATATAATTAGCACGAGAACGTCTTTAATTTCCTCCAAATTGATCTCCCTCTCTCACCAACCTGCTCGTCGCTGTTGCGATAATTCCTTAATCTACTCTGTGGAACTTATCAGAGTGGTGTAAGTTCGTTTTCTACAGCAAGTAATCTTAACGGGCTTCTGAAGTAATACCGTTTTAGATGCACAGGAAATTTGTTGACTCTTATAACAACGAGGGCACAATTACTAACGCTGATTGGCTGAGACAGAGGGCATTTTTAGTTATCATTTTGGTGATTGCCTCGGACAAAATTACATCAATTTCAAAACATTAAAAAAAGGCTTTGCCAAAAAGGATCATAATTTCATTGACGACGAAGTTGTTTTTAGCAGGGCTGCTTCCATTACCTTGGGGCTGTTGAAATAAAAATAAAACTCATTCAAATGATTCGTGCGTTTTACAGTTCATTGAAGCTAACTGAACTTTAGACACAAGCAGGCATTTTTCCTCTTCTAAATAAACAAAATTTTGCCTATTGTAATTATTATAAACAAGTAATTGCATGTGTTTCCTCGTAAGATTACAGACACTTGTGTTTCAGAAGTTACAGAAATTTGCCCGAGTTTGTCATGGTTTTATTTCTTACCGTCTCTTATTGTGTTCAGTTGTTGACGAGGGAAAATAAGAAGCAATTCTATAAGCGTTTGGTCAAATTTCTAATGATATGACCAAGGTTAGAAAATGATTGAAATTTTGTTAAAGCACACGCAGAATAATTCGCTAACTTTTCTAAGTTCTTAATTTTCTCTATCCATTTGCCGATTTTCTTTTAAATTTCACGGATGACAGGTTATAGCCATGTGGACAGTCAGGTTTTTGACTTGTTTATTTAAGTCCTTGCCAAGGCAATTTTAACTCATCCGCACCAAGTCCATTGAGATGTTAAAACCGTGTGTTAAATTTCAGTAGTGCCCTTTCAATGTCATTATAATCCAATCTAACTTCTCTGACCCACAATTGTTATGGGTACACACAGAGAGCTTGAGAAGCTAACTAAAGATACGTTTTGGTAAGTTTGTTCATTTTTGTAATCTGATGATTTGGTTTTTCTTTTCTTTTTTTTTTTTTAACAATTTCATCAGCTAAAACAAAAGTAAATGAATAAATGAACGCCGCAAAGTTCCATTTTTCACGATACAATCTGTCACCTAGCATATTTAATTACAAAACGCGGCCATTGACTGAATCAATTACGCCTTACTTGAGAAAGCAGGTGATAAAAACTGGACGCTTTCTTGTTTATTTATCCAAAGGACACAGCTCGCTATTGTTTTGCGGGCTCGCTATTTTTCCTCTCTGGAGACATATTTATTGAAAAGAAGACTCAATCTTTCGCAAGAATTTTTCCTTTTCTCTAGCAGAAAGCAGAAATGCCTTCAGAATTGGTAAGGAGATTTTTTACAGAGATTAGCTTTATGAAGCTTTTCCATCATTCTTCGTTTTAGACATACTATTATAGCTAGGCAAAGTTTACTTCCAATGAATAACGTCGCGTTGCTTTGCTTTTATCCATAGTCGATATCAAAGCTTTATCGCGCACATTTAAGCCAACTGTTCCACTTTTACCTCATTCTATGGTTGCCAATCGTGATCAGCAGTAAGATTCTTGGTGATAAATGCGTCACTTCCATTCAAAGTTTTAGTCTCTTGAAACAAGCATACAAAGTTTTCAGGGTGCGGGATATGTTTTCCTGTTACTACCTCTGCAAAGGAGATGAGATCTGTCAGAGCATAAACTTCAACAAAGTCAGCAGCTTTTGCGAGATGAACAACCGAACACGTTTGGTCAGACCGTACCATTTCGTGCCGAATTCAAACATCATTTACTTGGAAAACCCATTTCGAGGTAATTTAAATTGATTTTTAACTCAGAGTATTTTTTTTGTCTTAAACTCCTCTCAAAAGAAAAGCAAAGCGGCCGGTTTTTTTTTTTTTTTTCATTTTTTTAATGTATCTGCTTTTAAGTTTACCAGGTTATTAAGTTCCCTGTCACAGGATGTTTTCGCAGCTGAATAAGAACTCCTTTCAGTTGAACGCACCCTTAATAATAGGCATCGAGGAGTAAAACATTTTTTTCGTCCATCAAAGTTCATGTTTTTTTATCTAAAAGGTGCTCACTGTTCTGTTTTTATTCCGTACGATGTTCCATTTCAATTTTTGGAAACTTTTAGGACTCAATATAATGCATAATTTCCCACCGTAAATGGCAAATGGTAAACATTAAAACTAAACAGAAATAAACATTTTCCAATTTTGATCCGTAATGTTTAAGTTGAATGTTAATGTATATGTGTGTGTGTGTGTTTTTTTTTTCAAACCTTTCCCATCGCTGCAATATGGTTTTTAGTTTATTTCGGCTTGAGAAAGGAGGACCTCTCTTTCATGACCGACACTCATTTCCACGCGACCTTTTTCAACTAAGACCGTCATTCGCTTTCTCAATAAAACGATCTGAATAAATACAGATTCTTCCAATAACAGCTGGGTTCAAATAAGTGGCTAAACGTATCATCTACAAAGCTCATGAAAGAGGGATCTCATATATCCAAATTTAAACTGACTGGTTCTCGTACGAAATATATCGTCTTTTGGAAAAACTTCTGTCTTTTGCCTGAGAAAGAGGATACCCTGTTAATCTATTCCTAAATAAATAAGATGCCTGACATTATTTTTCGACTCTAAAGTAACTGAATATAAATCATGTTACCATCACCTTTAGAATTTTGGATACAATACTATCATTGACAGAAACGTGTTTATGTATAAGTAATCGAAGGGAGCTGAGTAAAATTAAGAATTTATACCACGCGTGTCCGAAGAAGTTTTTTTTTTACCTGCTAAAGAGCATTCGCTATCGATAAATCATGATGCTTTTCGAAAAAATTAAGCCTCTTTCAATATTCTCATTTTCAAGTCATTTTGCCATTAGCAATTACCAAATTTGATGAAAAATGCCCTCTGTTTTAGCCAGTAAGCATGTAGTAACTTTGCCCCCTATTTATAAAAATAAAGGAAAGCCAGCCCATTCCCTGAATTGCGAGTATTTTAACGGAAAAGTATGCTGCAGAAACTAAATAACTTTTCTCTTCAACATCACAAAATTCACAGATGAAGTTATGACACTAAATAGATAACTCTCACCAAGGTAGGATTTCCAACCAGATCCGAATTGGCTTTCTGCGTGGATCTAACAGATCGATTTCCAAATTGGATTTTTTAGTAGAATTTACGAGTAATTCGATTTTGGTTTGGATTCGGACTGAGAATTGAAATAAAAGCTCAGCGGTTTTCAACATCGTCTTCTTAACATTGAAACAGTTGAAAAATGAGATAAGATAATCAAGTGTTAGCTTCGAGTGTCCTTCTTATGAAAATGAATTGTAATTTATCATATAACCGGCCATGGTTCAATTACTTTACAGCTTTCCTTGGTTCGTCACCAGCACTCCCAGTTTCATCATGCCAAGAGATTAAAAACGCCTCCGAAGGACTGGCCCCTAATGGTAGATATTGGCTAGCCTCGATAGGAGCTGGAGACCAACCTTTCAGCGCTTATTGCGATATGGATAGAGAAGGTTAGATCTACTGAAGACAATGTATGAACTTGGGGATCTTGAAAGTACTACAAAATTACTTATGTTAAACATTGATTGACGGGCTACATTGTGTCCACGAATCAGTTGACTGTTGTTGAGTAGGGGAGGGAGGGGTAAGTGCGTAGTTGCTCAGATACCGATATCGATCCCATAATTCATTGCAGTTTGCGTTGGTTTCTGTAGCGTGAACCCGCAAGGAGCTGTCTATCACATTTAAGTTAGTTTCTCTCTTTTAAGGGAGTTTAGTGAATAAATCAGAATAAAATCAAAATCAGAATAAGTTGTTTTCTCTAATAAAGAAACACAAACCAATCTTCTTTCGTGAACCTTTGCTGATTTAGTCATTTTCTTTCCAGTGATTGTAGAGTGTCCTAAGAACCTATGCCAGAATGGAGCAGAGTGTGACTTCTACGGGAGGGGTCAGTACAAGTGTCGATGCTTACCAGGGTATACTGGGAAGCATTGTGAAATTGGTAAGTTGTTTTCTTTACGATTGTTCACACAAGTATGAATCTGATGATATAACTTACTCGGTCAGCACTTATTTAAGCTGAGAGCAAATGCACAGAAGAACTACTTTGTTTTTGACAACACAGACAAATAATTGTCAACTTAAATCATAAGTTTTTTTTTTTCCGGACAAAACTCAAAAGCAGTAATTTCTTTTTCCGCATCGCTCTTCTGTCACTCGCAATTCTTTGCTAAAAACAGAACTACAATTTATCCCTGTTATTCGTCGAGTTGATAGCGATTATCAATTTGCTAAAAATTGCAATTCTCAAAGTAAAATATGAGGTTGTAAGGGTTTGAATAAGCTTACGCCCAACCAACTGTCACAATTTGTATATTCCCTAGAATGGTCACCTCTTTAATTAAAATCTAACAATTTCCCCGGGATTAACGGAAGAAAGTGGAAAGCAGCACTTTGTTAATAATCTTCAAGTTAGCAAACCAATGTTCACGAAAAGTAATTTTTATATTTTTTTATAAATTGTGCATAACCAATCTTAGATCAATGTAGAATACTACTGAAGAAATGGTTTGTCAAACAGCTGCTTTTGAAGCTTTTCTTTTGTCATTGGAGATCAATGTAGTATACTACTAAAGAAATGGTTTGTCAAACAGCTGCTTTTGGTGCTTTTTTTTTTGTCATTGGAGATCAATGTAGTATACTACTGAAGAAATGGTTTGTCAAACAGCTGCTTTTGATGCTTTTATTTTGTCATTGGAGATCAATGTAGTATACTACTAAAGAAATGGTTTGTCAAACAGCTGCTTTTGATGATTTTTCTTTTTTTGTCATTGGACGCAGATATTGATGAATGCTCCAGTAATCCGTGTGTGAATGGAGGTACATGTATCAATTTGGTAAATGGTTACAATTGCTCCTGCACGTCATCATTGACTGGCAAACATTGTGAACTCGGCATGGGTAAGTTGATGCTTTCAACTTTCCGTCTACATTGTAGGAATCCAGTATTATGCTGCGCTATCGACGATTTTAAAATGTGAGGAGTTGAAGGGGGGCTGTGCTAAGATCCCTCCTCTTTCATTTTTCCCTGCTCCTCTCTCCTTTCTCCCATGCCTCGGTAGAGACAGTTGCTCTCGCTAAATACGCCACTAATCCATAGGGTGCCACCCACCTTCTCTTCCCTTCTGTGTTATGTTTATTTCGCAGAGGGAAAGTTGTTCTCCTTTTCAAGTCGATGAAAAGGTAAAAAAAGAAATAATTGCCGTACAATTTTAGGGGAAGATGGCAAATTACCCCTTCTAGAAGCTTTCCACACACAAAAAAAAACCTTATCTGTAAAATGTGCGCATAAAAAGACCGTGAAGTTGCGAGCAATATCGATTAAGCAGCAGGATTATGGGGAAAGAAATTGCTTTACTTTGCAGGGGCAGAGTGCAGCTCGTACTTATTCGACACAGAAGAAGACCGTAGCATAAAGTATCGAGCTGCAGGGTCAAAAAAATGTGACAGTGCCTTTTCCGGAGGCTGGTACCGCTTTAACAGCACTGCTGGCTCAAAAATGCCTACATCTTGTGTGCCAAAGAGTATGTGTAACACAGACGCACCCGGCTGGCTCAGTGGGAATCACCCCACACTAAAGGAAGGAATTGTCACTCGCACTGCTTGTTTTCATTGGAGCACTAATTGCTGCAACTGGAAGGTTATCATCAATGTGAGGAACTGCGGAGAATTTTTCGTTTACAAGCTTGTGAAACCAAACGTATGCACTCTTCGTTATTGCGTAACCACGTGAAACCATAGTTCGAAGGGAGGTTCTTGGTCAGCTAACCCAACATATCTTTCGTATATGTCTGTGTTGGTTTTTTTTTATTGATTGATTGTTTAATTTTTCTTTCACCTGACCGTGCCATACGTTTAACAGAACATCAATCAAGTTGAACTGACGGACCAATCGAAATTTCTGATTAACTTATTCATTTGCTCATTGGCTGGTTTGAATGGGGCCCTGTAAAAATAATTATAATGCCTGAGCATAACACTGGGAGTTATGCTCCCATTTCTTTGCGAAATGTGCGTAACCAGTGCAGAGAAGATGCAGCCGAAGACGGCCGGCCTACGGTTTGAGTAAACATTAGGGATTAAGGTTGTGCTCGGGTAGAGGGCTAACGACATAAACTGCGCTATTAAATTAAATTTTTTGTCCTTAAATTTTTACCGGTTTCCCAACTGTCTCCTCTTTTATATTTATGGTGGAACTGACAATATTTCATTGCAGAAACGAACGCACAATCGTCAATTTTGTTTTGTTTTATTCGTTTTCGTTTTTCTTCTTTTTCTGTAGATTTTGTAAATAGAACAGTTTTAAATGCGAAAAAAAAATCTTAAGTTCGAAAATCATCTTTACCCCATGTTACTAAACGTACACAGCCTAATGAAGCAACACTCATCAGATAGGGAAAGGTACTTACCTGATCTACACCCATTTTTGCAATCAAAATTTGCGTGAAGGTCCACCATTAAGGACGATGGTAGCTAATGACGTATATGGATGTTACTGCACCATAATGGAACGTTGGATGTTTCATGATTAGACAGTGTAAAAGAACCTAAAGACGCAATCAAAAATCCCTTGAGTTTTCGGTTCCTAACGTGAGTTTCAAAACCGATGCAGTCTCTTCTGTTTGTTATTAATTTTACTTATCGACAATTAAAGCTTTTCGTCGTCCATGTTGATAATAAGGGACCTTAACCAGTCAGGAGGCGGAGGAAGACGTCGATAAAAAAACATGAACTTCCATTTTTAGTGAGAATTTCGCATACGGCTGGACGTATTTACCATTTACCGCGATGCTACACCTTTACTTCAGCTGTTAGGGCATAACATATGCGAGCAGCGTAAAATTGAAAAGGGAAATTTGCTGTTATTATTTTCATCGTTAACTCTTCTTACGTATATGTGCACGATCCTTCGCAGTAAAGCACTATTTAAGCAATAGTGAAATTTCCCTATTGCTTAAATAGTGCTTTAGTGCGAAGGATCGTGCACATATACGTTTCATAACCGCAGTTCACATATATGTATTTCATATGTTTGTTATTAACTCTTCTGTTTTCTATGGCGCGTTTTTAGTGTCAAAATTCAAAACCTCGTGTCGGACTTGCTATTTTTCTATTCAAACTTCCTGTTTGACATTTCAGATACACTATGTGTTTACTGAAACATCCGTTGTTTCAGTTCAAAGCAATATTTCTTCGATTCAGTCATGCTGTTTTTCTATTGAAACGTGCGATCCTTCGTTTTAAAAGTGTTTTTCTACTACCCAAACATTCAGTCGTCTAATTCAAACGTGCTATTGTGCATTTCAAATTTTCAATCTCGCAATTCAAAATAGTCATTTCCGCAAGTAAAAATGCTATCCTTCTATTCCAATATGCAATTCTTTACCGCAAACCTGCTACTCGTCAATTCAAGTACACTATTCGCCAGTTCAAACAGGCTTTTCGTCGAAAGAAACACGCAATCCTTCATTTTGAAACAATCGTTCTGCAATTCAAACACTCTGCTCTTCAATTCAAACCGGCAATTCTTTCATTCCAACGCTTAATCTTTTAGTTCAGATCTGCTGTTCGACTATGGAGACATCCGGTCGTTTAGTCTGGTAACCCTATTCATCACTTCAAATATTCAACTCCTTTTCCAAACATTCAATTATTCAATGCGGACATGACACTCGTCATTCCAATACGCAATCCTTCGATTCAAACATTCAAACTTTCATCGCAAACACGCTGTCCTTCGTCGTAACCTGGAAACTAGCCCGGCCACCCATGCGTATTAGGGAGAAAGACGAAAAAAAGGCGGAAATCTTAAAATTTGTTGCAAATTTCTAGACGGATTGAGTTCTTATGCTCAAAATGGCTGTAACAGTTACAGAGCACCTAATGTTACGAGCTCTATCGTTAAAAAATGAGTTAAAAAGATTTACACAAGCGGGAAATTTAACATCAGAAACACTGGACTATTTACGTTATCAGTCGGAGATGCTTTATGAACATGCAGTTCGCTTGTCTCCTCTGGGTTGCGATCGTGCTTTCAACGAAATTACTCTTAAACTACGAGAAGTTTCCATCATAATTCGCGCTCAAGATTCAGAAAAAGAACAGTGGTCGAGCTTTGGCTTGAGTAAATATTACAGTGGAAATTGTGGAAGGCAAAAGTTTGTTATTTCCCAGGAACAATTGGAATACCTTATTACAAACGGGTTTAACGCAGTCGAAATAGGTAGACGGCTAGGAGTGTCCCTGAGCACGGTCATGCGCCGTATGATCGAGTACAGTATTGACACATCCAGACCATTTTCAGACATTACCGATGCGAATCTTTGTGAACTTATCCGGGACATCAAGAAAGAGAATATTAGAAGTGGTTACAGGATGATGTTAGGTCACCTTCGTGCAAGAGGATATCGGGTAACTCAGCTTAGGGTGCGTCAAATGATGCAAAAAGAAGATCTAGAGAGAACTGTTACCCGGTGGATGACCACTGTACAACGACGAGCTTACTCAGTTAGTGGCCCAAATGCATTGTGGCACATTGACGGTAACCACAAGTTAATAAGGTGTGAAATTATTATACACATCACAATTGTATTATGTGACCTCTCCTACCTTGCAAGTTTTATTGCTACCCAGCGTTATAACGTACATGCAGCCAACTACATATTTAATTGTGTAACGATTGGAAAACTTTTAGTTCAAGATGCAAACCACTATAATAATTGTACCCATTTACTGTAAAGTTGGGAAGGATGGTGCCACATGTGCTGGATGCCCGACACTTTTTGTTATTGATGAGTTTCTCATATTATAATTGACTAATTATTATGAAGAACGGTTTAGATAAGCCATAGATTTGCGGCTAAAAAAGTGGAGTCAATGCTAACTTTACGAAAACTATTTGTTTTATAGATGGAGAATGGTGATTCATGGCGCAATCGACGGCTATTCACGCATTCCACTATTTCTTCGCTGTTCCACCAACAACTTTGCCTCAACTGTTCTGTCTCACTTCCTCGAAGCAGTTTGCCAAAATGGATTGCCATCACGAGTACGTTCGGACAAGGGCGGGGAGAACGTGGACGTCTCCCTATTTATGTTGACCCACCCCAGGCGTGGTCCCGGAAGGGGAAGCATGATCGCTGGAAAAAGCGTTCACAACCAGCGAATTGAGCGACTATGGCGGGATCTTTATTTCCAAAAGACCGTAACCTTTTACCAACTTTTCTGTCATATGTAAGATAACAGTATCTTGGATGTGAGCAATGAAGTGCACATGTTTTTCCTGCATTACACATTTCTGCCTCGCGTGAATGAGCAACTGGACGATTTCGTCAACGGATGGATCAACCACGGCCTCTCATCCGCCCACAATAGAACCCCAAGACAGCTTTGGATTTGGGGGATGCAACAGAGTGCAGCTTCGTGCACTACTGTTTCGGAAGAAATGTTTGGGGTAAGCCATTACTTTACCATTGATTTTCAGTTGAAATGCCCCCCACAGAAAAGTTGAATTCTTCAACAATTTCATCTTGTTACTTATTTCTGTCAAAAGGAAGATTTTCAGGGGTATGGTATAGATTGGACAGGACCCTTACCTGATGAAGAACACGATGCGCTACTTCAACCTGATGGAGAGGTTGTTGAAGTACCAGCCACTCTTACGATGGATCAACGCAAGACACAGGTGCTTGCCGCAGAAATTAATCCACTTCAACAAAGTGACAGTTATGGGATTGATTTATACTTAAAAACAGTTACTTTAGAAGAAAGGTTAATGTTAGAATAGAACATAAATCATCTTTTCCATTATGTCTGGCAGTAACTGTGCAGTGTATACAACAACAACAGTACACAAGAGTTATTTATTTGGGAAAGACCTGAAACTGTTCATAATTTACATCCATCTGCCTTTGTTATAAGCTGATATTACCTCTGATCAAGACTCTTAAAAGTTACATTTTATAATTATGCATTCATCCCAAGTTTCCTGTATGCAGCTTAGAATATAGCAGAGTTCAAAACCGATCAGTTTGATCCTTCATAGCAAAACTTACTTTTGTGGGAATCACTCCTCATAAAGTTTAACCTAACAAAGAACTTTGATATCTGAGATAACTATAACCTAAAAGTGTGCTTATAGCACACAAAACAACATTAGATAACAACTAGCAAGGGGAGAGGTGCTATGAGAAGAATTGGATGTCCTGTTGATTTCAAAGCATTTTGAACTGTGCTGAGTCAATCATGTTGAACACATACATGTAAAGTTCTTTGAGGACTGCCACTTCTGTCTCACTTCTCTTTTCCCCCAGTAGGTTGTTACCTTAGTTTGAAACAAACAATTATTTGTCATCAGAACACAACAGTATCCATCTCCAGTTCAGGAAACTACGTGTAACAGTAAATTGCAAGATGCCGTACTGACAGCAACTTTCAAAACACAACAATGAATTGAAACAACTGTGACTAAAACAAAACACAAAAAAAATATATCGCATTGTCAAAGGCCAAAACAAATACAGTTTCGTATTTTCCTGTTAGAAAATGAGAGATCATGTAGTAGGCTGCTAATTGGGTGCTTTACATTTACTGCTAATTACCTTTTATGGTAAATATAATTTATCAATAAATTTTAAATCTAAATGCTACATGCAAAACTCTGTCAAGTATAGGAAGAAATAGCAAGGACACTTAATTTCATCTGTGGAAGTTACATGATTGGGATAAGATCAAATCACAAATTTAAACTTATATGCAAACTTGTTTGTTAACATTACACATAAGGCATAAAGAAACTCCAAGTTTTACATTTGACATGACTATGTGAGAAATATATGGAATACTCCTTTCTACAAATTTAAATCATTCCAAAAAAGGCACCAGCAAAAGCATAGTCATACAAATTGTGTAGTTCTTGAACTTGTAAAAGTGGGCTGGTTAATGATCCTCTTGGAATGGTGAGGCAGTTTGTACATGTGTTAGCTCTTGGTAAGAAATTACCACCAAAGACCTCAGCAAATACAATTTAGGGATGTGACGAAAACCCAAGCACTGGCTCTTCATCACCGGTGGTGAACTGCAGGATGTGTTCCAACGTCA